CCCATCCCGGGGCCAGCCGGGCCTCCGCGGGCACAGCCTCCGGAGGGCGGCCTGTCCATATGGCACCAGGCAGGAGGCAGCTGCCTGCCCATGGCCAGCACCTTTGCAGGCACGAGGGACCGAGGAAGGTCGCCCCGGCCAGCCCGGGCCAGCCCGGCACTAGACATACTGCTTTTTGGAGGCTGAGCTCCCGGGACGGCTGCACAGCTTCTCCTCCAGGGCGGCAGCTTCAGCAGCCCTGGGGGCGTAGGGGTCCGACAGGGGCCTGCTGCCACTGCCCAGTGCCAGGTTCTCCTCATTGTGGAAGTTGGCCCAGTTCTGCTCGCTGGAGAGCTTGTTGTAGGCCTGGTAGGGCGGTGTGTGGCTGTCGGCCATGGGCAGGAAAGGGTAGTGCTTGGGTGGGTAGGGACCCGAGACCATGTCATCAGCAAAGGTGTCCCGGCTCGGGCCGGCCGGCACAGACGCCTTCTTGACATTGCTAAGCAGGTTCTTGCAGCAGAGGTGGAAAAGCTCCAGGAGGTTCAGGATTAAGGAGATCAGGCCCATCACCAGCATGAAGATGATGAAGATGCTCTTCTCAGTGGGGCGGGAGATGAAGCAGTCCACCTGATGGGGGCAGGGGTCCCTCTTGCACACGTAGCGGGGCACCATGGAGAAGCCATACAGGTACCACTGGCCAATGAGGAAGCCAGCCTCAAAGATGCTCTTGCAGATCACACTGATGATGTACGTCCACATCAGCGCCCCTCGGATCTTGAGCCGCCCATCCTCCGTCATATAGATCTTAGACATCTTCTTCTCCACGGCTGCCAGGGCCTGCTCGATCTTTGGGTCCTTGCTGTGGATAGCCCGAAGCTCGCTCTCCTGTTGCTTCAGCTTCTCCTCCTTCCGGGAGAGATAGACAACGTGGCCGAGGTAAATCAGGGTTGGGGTGCTGACAAAGAGGAACTGGAGCACCCAGTAGCGGATATGGGAGATGGGGAAGGCTTTATCATAGCAGACGTTGGTGCAGCCTGGCTGCTTGGTGTTGCACACGAAATCTGACTGCTCGTCCCCCCACACGGACTCCCCGGCCAAGCCCAGGATGAGGATGCGGAAGATGAAGAGCACGGTGAGCCAGATCTTCCCGATCACAGTCGAGTGCTCCTGGACTTGGTCCAGCAGTTTCTCCAGGAAACCCCAGTCGCCCATCTTCTTGGGAGCCTCGTGCCTCTGCCGGCAGAGAGGGGAGGGGAGCCAAGTCAATTCTCTGCTTCCATGCTGGAGAGCACAGGGCAGACAGGGCTACCTAAACCCCAGGCTTTCTCGGGACACGATTGCTCTGCAGAGGGTCCCAGCAAACCCACCAAGGAGCACCCTACACCTGGGGGAGGGAGCCAGGCAGGATTTCTGAGCCCAGGGGTGCTCCTCCTACACCCCACTGCCCAGTGAGGAAATGTGGGGCTGGGGGAGAAGAGGCAGCGCAGGGATTCACCTCCCCCAGCAGCACCCAGCCCACAGCACCCACGACTCCCGGCTGTCCCGGCCTCCCAGGACACAGCTCACAGCTAAGGGCTCACTGGCCGGTGGTTTGGGGCTGCCCTGGGAGGTCAGGGCCACAGCACCCGGAGAGGGGGCACAGCAGGGGCACATAGGAGCAGCCCAGATTTGCCTTTCTGACAGCTCTCTTTCCTGGCTTTACCGAAGGGCAGAGAGCAGCAGGGTCACAGGAGGGAAAGCACAAACCCCCGGGATACAGCAGCCACCCCGATGCTTATTCAGGGCTCACCCCAAACTGAAGGGACAGTCGCCAGCCAGCTCCCCTACTGTGGGGCGATGGCACCCCAGCCCCAACGCGCTCCCCCTTGCCCAGGGCTTTTCCCGGCCTGGGGATCCCCAAGACCACTCACCGCACACAGACCCGATGCCACTCCGGGGACCCCGGGGTGTCT